GAACCTTCCCTCTTTAACTTGGGGGGTCAAGTATTTTGTCTCAACAATGGGAAAAGTAACGAAGACACCAGCCCTTAAACATTTTTAATTTTATTTATTTATTGTTTGAGACAAGATCTTGCTAGTCTGCCCAGGCCAGGCTTGAACTTACCATCCTCCTGCCTCAGCTTCCTACAGTACTGCAATCGCAGGCATGTGCCACCGTGCCCAGCTCTAATTTTTCTTTGGAGGAAACTGGAGGCAGAAATGGGAACGAAGAGCAGGAAGCCTGATCTTGCTGCTAGGGACGTGAGGCCGAAGCCCCGGGGCCTGTGGTGCTGGGTCTGCCTTTACCTAAAGCTTTGTTGCTGGGGTCGATTCGCTGAATGAGCGCTTTGTACAGAAGAGCGGGAGGGACCCAGAGACAGCTGGAGGACAACATAGAGACAAACCGGCAGGAAGCTGCCCCAGGAATCAAAAGCGCTGGCCTTGTAGACCAAAGCAGCTCTCAGACATACTCTCCCCGCTGAAGCAGGCATGACTTGGAGGGCAGATTTGGTCCTTCATCTCTGTGCTGTGCTGCCTGGAGGTCCCAGTGCACAAGAAACATCCAGACATGTTTGTTGGCTTAAACCCAGCCGAGGGGACGCACATGGTGCTTGTGGGACTCCAGTGGTGAAGGGTGAGGAGTGTTCACAGCAAGATCGCCATCGTCACATTGTTTTGAGATGTCTCTGGGGACGCAAAACATGCATGCAAAGTATTCGTGATTACAGAAGCCTCTAAAATGAATTTGTTGAAGAAAAGCAAAAGCGTCATGTTGCATTTGAGTTTGAGGCTTGCTCTCAAAGGCTACCTCCGTTCAAACTTGGTTCAGACGGCAGCGCCAGACCGAGTGACTCCTGTAAGAAGTGACTTTCTCCCAGGGTAGATAACGCTGGGTTCCCAGGGGCCAGGGAGTGGGATCCGAGGAAAGGGAGGAAGGAGAGAAATGGCGAGCGTCGGCTGAGTTATGCTGGGGTAGCAAGTGACCCCCAGTTCTCAGCTCTGAGCCATGACCAAAGGTGACTTCTGACACTGTGTTTTTATCCAGATCCTGCAGAGTCCGGGACTGAAAGTGCAGTCCCTACCTGGGTCTCTAGGGGCGGGGCCTGGAGGCTGGGGGTACCGTGGCAGCCGTCAGGATCTTGTACAGAGTAAAGCACACCCGCCACACTTTGTGAATGATCCTTGTCTTTACCATTAGCTGTACCCTGTCACCTGCAGTCCAGGTCCCAAAGCCTGACACTAACACAGGCCGTGTGCGCCAATCACACGTGCATCTTCTAAGAACGCAGATGTCGGGAAGCAGGCAGAATGACAGAGAGGAACGCAAAGGAGGATGACACAGCCTGCATCGGGGCTTTGACCTGAGCAGTGCACGCGTGCAGCAGAGCCATTTCCTCAGCCGAGGAACATTATCAGTATTCCAGACGGGGCAGTTTACTCCACTGCCCTTGAATAACCGAAGTCCGAGCGATTGTGTCTTAGTTTACATCAAAAGCTGAGTCCTTCTTCAAGGGAAAGCTCCGATTTCTGGCTGCACTTTTCCTGCTCAAACCCCCTTGTGTTTGACCCTCCAACCTTGCAGTGAGTCAGCATGGGACGTTGAGCGTGCCTTCCTCTCTGTTTCCCGTCCTCACAGTGAGCTGGCTGGGCTGGACCAGTGGGCCTTAGGGGTATGTTTCAGTGTCACCCAGCTTTCAGCCCCAGAAATCTTGCTTCGGCCTTTCTGAGATCTATGTCCTGAAGGTGTGCCCCAGAAATTCTGAGGTTCCCTCCTGGCTGAGACAAACGACTTAGCTAGGATTGGACTTAACCTCTTTCCAGCCAGTGCCCCCAAGGAGTGGCTCTGGGCTCAGCCCCAGTGAAGGCCTGGGCTAAGGTGGCCCCCAAACAGACTGCGGGTGCCCTGACTTCCCGCCACCCTCTCCACACTCTGATCTGTGAGTGGTGACATCTGCAGGAGGTGCCTGATGGTAGATGGGTGGGTGGATGGATGGATGGATGGATGGATGGATGG